CACATACTTTTTCCTCCCTGCACTGTGAATGTTTACATGTTAAGTGCAATTAAACCATGGGAACATCTAATGTTTGTGTAGTATGTTCAGCAGAGTGTGTTCTTCTATTGTTGTGACTCAGATGACGTTCAGAGCACATTTTATGCCCAATTCATGCAAAACTCCACGTAATCCCAAGGGGTTCACATACTTTTTCTTGCAACTGTACATAGGTAAATCGCTGCATAAATTGACAGAGCTATACCATATAACAATAATAAAAAAAACCTGTTACTGCTCAGTATAATACATACATCACACCTCCCCATGAATAGTAGATTATAGTAAAGCTATAAGAATTTTTATGCACATATAGCCATGTAAACTCGCACACCATACAGGCCAGGCTCACATCTTTTGTGCAGGGACTTTTTGCCAGGAAATTCTGGTGTTCATACATCAGTGCCATAAGTAATAACTTCTATAGTAAGCACAACTTCAAATATTTATTTTGCTCATCACTCAGTAGCACTTCTCAGTGATGTCAATTATATTGTAACGTGCTGAGCAAACTGTTGGCGCTATATAAATGCTGTAGAATAATAATAATAATACTGTCACTTCCACTCCCTTTTTTCCTGCTAACTGCTATTACGTAGGTATAACCAAAGAGAATTTATGAGAATATTGCAACATCAGCTTTCCTACAAACAAGTTTCAGCTTCCCGGAGTAAACCTCCACATTTAAAGGAAACGTATAGACATTTTCATTTCCTCATACGAACATGTAAAGAAATCTGCTCAAAATAAACAATCTTACCAACATAATGTTAATGTTTTAAAAACCTTGTTTAAGCATAAAATCTGCAAAGGTAATTTTACATGGGGCAGCCATATATTTCAGTGACATACACAAACTCTGCCTTCTGGCTTGAATCACTACAATGGTCGCAGCTTACTCCTCCTTGTCATATTACACGTTTATAAATGAGCTTACTCATTGAAAACAGCGATATCTGTTATTTAGACAGGCAGAGTAATTGCATTAAACCACTTAGAGCCCCTCTGGTGGTTAATGCAGTAATCTCTATAACAGTGGTCTTCAAACTATGGCCCCGGGGCCAGATGTGGCCCTTTGCTTCCCTTTATCTGGCCCTTGAGGCATTATTACTGCCACTGACACCAATAATGGGGCACAGTTCCTGCCACTGACACCAACAATGGGGCACAGTTCCTGCCACTGACACCAACAATGGGGCACAGTTCCTGCCACTGACACCAACAATGGGGCACAGTTCCTGCCACTGACACCAACAATGGGGCACAGTTCCTGCCACTGACACCAACAATGGGGCACAGTTTCTGCCACGCACCACAATGGGGCACAGTTCCTGCCACTGACACCAATAATGGGGCACAGTTCCTGCCACTGACACCAATAATGAGGCACAGTTCCTGCCACTGACAACAACAATGGGGCACAGTTCCTGCCACTGACACCAATAATGAGGCACAGTTCCTGCCACTGACAACAATGGGGCACAGTTCCTGCCAATGGGGCACAGTTCCTGCCACTGACTACAACAATGGGGCACAGTTCCTGCCACTGACACCAATAATGAGGCACAGTTCCTGCCACTGACAACAATGGGGCACAGTTCCTGCCACTGACACCAACAATGGGGCACAGTTCCTGCCACTGACACCAACAATGGGGCACTATTCCTTCCACTGACATCAACTATTTCTCCACCTAATACCAAAAGTACCCCCTAAAGTATAAAGGACACTAAACTGGCCCTTTCTTTAGAAAGTTTGGAAACCCCTGCTCTAGAATAAAAATGGCAAATATATTTAAAAAAGCAAGCATTAGAAAATATGAATAATAAAAAGCAACAACTGTAATGAAAAACATGTACTCTGATACACAGAGCACCACTCTGTATTAAACTCTTAGGCTAGGTTCACATTTGTGCATTGTGGAAGTGCATGCAAAATCATGTGCTGTCCCACAATGCACTGTCCTTGTACAGACGTGTGGCAGTCAGTGGCATATCTAGGTTTTGTGCTGCCCCAGGCAACACAAAAAGCAGCCGCACCAACCTTTCCCGCGGAGAGAGCCTGACACCGACCAACACGCTCCCCCCCCCCCACTGTGGAGAGAGCATAACACCGGCCAACAACCCCCCAAAGGAGAGAGCTTGACAATGACCAACACCCCCCCCCCCCCCAACTGCAGATAGAGCATAACACCAAGCAGCAACCCCCCCCCCCCCCCCAAAGGGGAGAGCCTGACACCAACCAACACAAACCTCCCCCCCAGCTGAGGGAGCCTTCCAATACCACCACCTCCCCCATACACCTGCCGCCACCACCCTCCCATCCGTGGCAAGAGAGAGAAAGAAACTCACAGACACTCACCTTCACAGCTCAAGGAACGAGAGTCAGGCTCTGCATACACCATCAAGCAGCCCGCAGACTCTCTTGGATCCCACCTGGTCCCCATGCAGCTTGTGTTCCTTCTTCTGCCCCCCCTGAAAAATGCCGCCCTAGGCAAATGCCTTGTTTGCCTTGTGGTAAATATACGCCCCTGGCGCCAGTGCCATTAAGACATTGCATCTGCAAAAGCATGCTGTAGCACCAAGTGTTTCGGTACAAAGCGATTTTTTAAAAGGGTCCGGGACTTCTTCTGAGTATTTCTCACGCATAGGGCAGCCCATTGCAGAATGATGACAGAGGAATTCTGCCAGACATGTGTCTCTCTATCCCGGCATCTCTGCCCAGGACTGCTATAGATATGTGCTGGATTGCCGGGCAATTATGAGGCTGAAGAAAACCCAGATGGCACAATAAACTTCCAGGGATGTGATTCAGGAATAGAAAAAATTAAACATCTTGGGAGGGTTTGTAAATCTGAGCTGCAATTCTAATTTGGACTTTCTAGAGCGGTGTTCACTTTTGAGGATTGCTCTACTTGCTTTGTATATGGGTAAACTCCTATATATATGTACCTATGTCTTATTCTGCACACAGACTACCCAATTACCAACAAAGAAGTCAATGTGAATATAAACACAATATCCTGTGCGTTAACTGCCTCCCCTCAAACTGGTCTTGTAAGCTGAAAGGTGGTGACGTTTATTGGGGGAGATTTACTAAAATTGAAGCACTCAAAATCTGGTGCAGCTCTGCATAGTAACCAAACAGCTTCCAACTTCAGCTTGTTCAATGAAAGTGGTTGGAAGGTTGAAGGTTTTGTTTCTATGCATGAAGGTAAAAAACCTGTGTGCTGCTCCCCCCACAGCCCCCCTAATACCCATCTGAGCCCTTTCTCGATCAAGTGATGTGCACAGGAGCCTCAGCCATCCCGGGTCTCTCTCTCATTGGCTGTAACACAGCAGTGAGAGCCACTGGTTCCCACTGCTGTCAATCACAGCCAGGGAGCCAATGAGGCGAGAGCAAGGGGGCAGGGACCCGAGAAGAAGAGGATCGGGGCTGCTCTGCGCAAAACCATTGCACAGGTAAGTATGACATGTTTATTTAAAAAAAAATTAACCTTTAATATTACTTTAATCTTTGACAATAAACAAAACCTAGAAGCTGATTGGCTACCATGCACAGCTGCACCAGATTCTGTGTTCACCAGTATTAGTAAAACTTCCCCATTGTGTTCAGACTTCCACATTGACATTTGACAGGCATTGGACTATTGAAAACCAGCAATGTATCTGATGGTGTATGGAGATCTTCAGTTAAAATGATGTACTGGGGTTGGTTGTAGGTATATTGTGTCTGATGTGTCCAGTGCATGAGCTTTTAAGTATATAGGGGTTCATAGGATGGCTGAGGGGTCAAGATGTTGGGGAGTTCAGGGTGAAACTAGACACTGGACAGGAAAGGTGGTCAGCAGTACAAATGCTAAATAGAACAAAAGAAAGAGGGATGGGAAAAAGTAGGGAGTGAAGAGTAAGATCCCTTCCTCTCCATCCTACTGTAAGGCACCAGAAATCTTTGTACTTACTATTCAGCTTCATAGTTACAGCCTTTAGGCAACCCTTGGCTAAAGCATGATAGTCCAAGTTAAACAAAAAAAAAAAATTGCCTAATACTTGAATAATGAGAAAATGGTGGTTATCCTAGGTGACTCAGTGGGCAAGCTGTTAATAGTCTGGACCCCTCGGATAAATCACCATTATCCTACTGACACTTTAACCATCTATATATCCAATTAAGCTGCCTTTATGTATACCCACAGTACTGCAGAATACCCTCATCATGCCAGAAGGGTCAACATTAGAGGTCACAGCCCTCCACTTCCTGGGAATAATTATATCGGAAGAACTAGTGCACTGTTTATATATTCTGATTAGAAAGCTACTTTTTTGCACCCTTCAAACTAATAGAAATATTTGCAGACAAACTTAAAAAAAAATATCAAGCTGTGAAACCAAGCTATAAAAAATATAGTGCGGCTCTGTAATCATTAATACGTGAAGTAAATGTACCTGCATTTTACCTGGCATCTGCCTCTTACAGTCCCTGTACAACATGGCTTAGACTGGAAAAGGGAGACGCTACAAAGGGTGCCAGTTACTGTATAACAAACTGCAGTGACAACAAGTGGCTTCTCCTTTCATTGTCTAGTCATGGGCTATGGTGTTTCTGGATGACCTGGGCTCAAAGGAAGTAGGTTGATAGATGCTGGTCTTTAGACTGAGGACAATTAGTGACAGAAAAAAGTACTGTGTGGAAATTTCCAGATATAAAGGGAATACTGTAGTAAAAGCTATTTTTTATTTGAATAGGCTCTTTATAGCGTGTTCTTTTTGCATGGAATTTAGGTTTAATAAGAGGCAGTCCACAAAATGATCTCATATACAGTGTATCCGGCAGACAATCTACACTGTGCATTCCTCAATCAATGATCTCTAAGTCTCCCTCTCACCAATATGATGTGATTAAAGTAGAAGAAAAGCCTAACTATTATTAAATACACTACGTTGCCAAAAGTATTGGGCCAGCCCTCCAAATCATTGGATTCCAGTATTCCAATCACCTCCATGGACACAGGTGTATAAAATCAAGCCCCTAGACATGCAGACTGCTTCTACAAACATTTGTGAAAGAATGGGTCGCTCTCAGGAGTAGAGTGAATTCAAGCGTGATACCATGATAGGTAGCCACCTGTGCAATAAGTCCATCCGTGACATTTCCTGGCTACTAAATATTCCACGGTCAACTGTTAGTGGTATTATAACAAAGTGGAAGCAACTGGGAACAACAGCCACGAAGTGGTAGGCCACGTAAAATGACAGAGCGGGATCAGCGCATGCTGATATGCATAGTGCACAGAAGTCGCCAAATGTCTGCAGAGTCAATAGCTAAAGACCTCCAAACTTCGTGTGACCTTCAGATTAGCACAACATGAGTGCATAGAGAGCTTCATGGAATGGGTTTCCATGGCCAAGCAGCTGCATCCAAGCCTTACATCACCAAGTGCAATGCAAAGTGTCGGATGCAGTGGTGTAAAGCACGCTGCCACTAGACTCTAGAGCAGTGGAGACATGTTCTCTTGAGTGTCCAATCACGGTTCTCTGTCTGGCAATCTGATGGACATGTCTGGGTTTTGTCGGTTGCCAGAATGGTACTTGCCTGACTGCATTGTGCCAAGTGTAAAGTTTGGTGGAGGGGGGATTATGGTGTGGGGCTGTTTTTCAGAGGTTGGGCTTGTCCCCTTAGTTCCAACGAATGGAATTCTTAAGGCGTCAGCGTACCAAGACAGTTTGGGGGTGGCCCCTTCTTGTTCCAACATGACTGCGCACCAGTGCACAAAGCAAGGTCCATAGAGACATGGATGAGTGAGTTTGGGGTGGAGGAACTTGACTGGCCTGCACAGAGTCCTGACCTCAACCCGATAGAACACCTTTAGGATGAATTAGAGCAGTGACTGCAAATCAGGCCTTCTCATCCGACACACTCCTAAACCTTGTGGACAGCCTTTCCAGAAGAGTTGAAGCTGTTATAGCTGCAAATGGTGGGCCAACTCAATACTGAACCCTACAGACTAAGACTGGGATGCCATTAAAGTTTATGTGTGTGTAAAGGCAGGCATCCCAATACTTTAATGTTCCCTTCCCCATCTTCCTACCAATCCTGTAACCTGTAAAACAAATGAGTCCAGTATGTGACCTTGCAGCTCTGGCTCAGGGAGCGATCAACAATGGTTGGTAAATTCTGGAGCTGTGACATCATGCATAGTCTCCCATTGCTAAGCAGCTGTCAGCTCTCTCTCCTCCCCCCTGCAGCAGCTGCTCACTGACACAGGGGAGCTGGTGCTGCAGAATCATGTGACTGAACCAGAGCAAAATTAAAATAGGTAAGTATACAGATCTTTTTTTTTATACAGGTTAGGCAGGATAGATAGGGAGGGGGGGGGGCATTTTTCTACAGAACAGATAGTGTTAGGATTATCATCCACTTTAAGAAGTCCATTGACAAAAGAGTAATTAATACAATTCTAAAGGTGATATATATTTAGTAATTACATGCAACATAAGATATTTGAAAAATATATTTTCCTTTAATTTGAAATTCCTAAATATCTCTTAACTAAATGTTTGTATTCCTTTTCCCTTCGAAGAGTTTCTACTGAGGAGCATAAACCAGAATACAACAAATCAACATCAAACAGTGTATGCGCACAAATCCCACAATTTAGGAATGTATAGGAACTGAAAGAGCACAGATCATGTTCAATGTATCCAATTAGAGTGACCTGATGTGAAGTTGTTGAGCAGAAAGACATCTGTGTACAGGACTAGTTATTTCTGTACTCTGAAATTGTATCCAATCGTTCTGGTTCTCTATGCACTTCACCCTGTAATCCTTCTCCTGTTTCCTTTCGTTTTAGAATTGTATCATACCACCCCTCCGTCTTGATATTATTGTTGGTGCATTTCAATTAGTTTAACAATTGGTTGGTTCTAATCATTTTAGGAAATGTTTTATTTATTACAGGTATTTATATAGCACCAGCAATCTACGCAGTGCCTAATATATTGTACATTCACATCAGTCCCTACCCTCACAAACATACATACAGTATGTACACACACATAGTAGGGCTAATATAGTCAGGAGTCAAATATCTACCAGAATGTCTTTGGAGTGTGGGAGGAAACCCACACAAGCATAGGGAGGGCATAAAAACTCCATGCAGGTAGTGTCCTAGATGGAATTTGAACAAAGGACTGCTGTGCTGCAAGGAAGAAGTGCTAAACTCAGAGCCACTTTTATACCTCTACAAATTATGCTAGCTACTAGTGCTTTTAGAACATCAGCTTGCTTTGCCAGTCCCTAGGAACTCCAAATACATGTTACCAATTGGGATGGTGTTTGTGTTTTGCTGCTACTACTATGAAATTGCAGCAAACACATTGTGCAGGCAACTGGATGGAGAAATCTTCACTGCAGGGATGCCCTGTCCTCTTCCTGTCTCTGAATTTCTATTGCTGTAAAGGTTAACAGCTTTAGGTCTTCAGGCAGAACTGCAGTACAGAAGTTCTGATGGGGACACACCCCTCTTTCCTTCTCCTTCACAGAGAAAAGTTGAATCAGTCACAGGATTCTCTCCCCCATTCACAGACCAGGTTACAAGCAGTGTATTAAATGAAAGAACTTTTCAGTGGAGGAGGAGAAAGGAGGGGAGTTGTCCCTGTAGTACCATCTGTAATGCTGTTCTGCCTGAAGCATGCCCAGCTGGTCATTTTTTTAAAGCAGGGAGCTTTTTTTTTTTTCCCAAAAAAATTTTATTGCACAATTTAAAAAAAAATTAAATTTGACCCTCCTAATTCTGCCTAAAAGTGCTCTGGGAACATTGGGTCAAGGAGGCATTGCATATATAAAATAATATAAAATATTATTTAGCTGGACAGGGAGTCTTTGCCCACAGATGGCTTCTGGGGGATGACGATGATTCAGCCACAGTGCTAGAGGCACCAGTCTTGGGATCATATGAAAGCCTGCGACTTCTACTGTACAGAGGGTCAGGAGCTGCTTTTTCTGTTACGAACACCAAGAAGGTTACCATTAAAGCTTGGGAGGCTACTCAGCACATTCTATCCCCTGCCTGCACGGTTGTCCCATCGGCCTCTCCGCTCTGGTGGAATCCCAAGTTTCCATCTATACCTGACCCTATCATATGGGATTCCGAGGGTGTTAAAACGTTGGGGGATACAGTGGGGAGTGGTGGTACACTGCTCACATTTGATGATCTGAAGCATAAATTTAACCTCCCCAATGTGTATCCCTTCTACTACTTGCAACTTGCAACTAAAAGACGTTTTTATTGCTCAGTTTGCTTCCATTTGTATAGAGACTTGGCCTTCCTCGCTTGAAAACGTCCTTACAGATGAATCACTGAAAAAAACAATGTCTGAGTTATACAAAGCTTTTTCCAGCTCTCCCTATATCAGTGACTCAATGTCGGGAAAAGTGGATGGAAAAGGTTCCGGATCTGGATGATATGTGGACCTCTCCATTTTCACATTTTGTATCCTCATGAGACAGGCTGATCCATTTTAAATTCCTACACAGTATTTATTATACCCCTGCTAAACTGGCCTGAATCTATTCACAGGTGTCTGTAAAGTGCTGGCGTTGTTCGCACTCCCCAACAACCTTTGGGCATATTTTTTGAGACAGTCTGGTAGTTTAGAAATTTTGGAAGGACCTGTTACATTGCATTACTAAAGTCACAATGCTACCTGTTCCGGCGACTGTGTCAGTCTGTTTTCTAGGCCTGGTGGAAGGTCTTGCTCCTACTAGGGCCCAACGCACTATGCTTAGCCTCCTGCTATTTTATGCTTGCAAAGCTTTGATTCTGTATTGGAAAAATCCTGAGGCTCCCTTATTATCTTACTGGAGGGGTTGGTGAACAAAATGCTCCCAATATATAAAACCACCTATAGGAGCAGAAGATGTCCAAAGAAATTCGAGAAAGTTTGGAAGGTCTTGCTAGATAGCTGTTCAACCTCTGGCTAACTTTGTGCACCTAAGGCCCTCTTGTTTCTCAGTCCGGACCCAGTTGTGTACATGGTAACACCTTGCAGAAACTGCTTTACCCTGACATTATCTAATCTACTCTTCCCCTGAATTGGGGGGCAACATTACCTATGAGCATCCTACCTTTTGGACCCTCTCATTATCCTTTTGCAGGGAGATTTGGTATCTGGTATGGCTATCTTTCACTGGTTTGAGTGCCTGGTTGGGGGGGTTGTTTTTTGTTTTCTTTAGTATGGTCTCTGTTAGTTACTTCAGGCCCTTGTTCTATTTTGTACTGTTATAACTGTGTCTGTTACATACATGTAATAGATAAAACTCAATAAAAAGAATACTTTTTTTTTTAAATCCTTCTATCGTTCAACCTGGTGGTTTAAGTGAAAATTAATCATGCATGGCCTGCGTTCGTGACCAGTGCTGCTTCTCTCTATATTTCTGCACACTGATCATTTTACATACAAGACTGTACTGGAAAAGCTTTTCAATAATACTTTACCAACAGCAAAGAGTGATTTCATAACCATATCAACAGAAACAAAATAATGGTCATGTTTCTAAAGCCACAATTGATGACATACAAATGTCATTTGGTTTATCTCACAACCACAGCCAGGATACAAAGAACCAGAAGTGAAACGTTCCTAAAGCTAGACAGTGTTATGCTACAAGAAGGATGTCCTATTACCACAGTGATGCCAGGTTGCCATAGTCGAGTTACCACAGTGGTGTCATGTTGATGCCACACTATTATAGCTATGCCATGCACTGAATAAAACTACATTACCATATTAAAATTAAGTTACAAAGTCACACTTTGTTAATATATGGACATCTAATAATGATGCCATGTAACCAGTGATGGCATATTATATATGATTGATACCACCGCAGTGACACCATATTTGTATAGTAATAACCGTTTACCATGTTGATACCAATTTACAATAGTGACTCATTTTAAGAATGGCGTCATATGTTAAAATCAACATAGATGATACAACAAGTACATTTCTTCTGCAAACCGTTTATTACAGAAGAAAACAAAGTTCTCAGAACAGAGGAAATGGCTGCAGATTAAAGTCTTATCAAAGACTTTCTTGTGGTCTGTCATTTTCAGCCATTACTCATTTTTGTTAGATGTCTGTCCAGTGAATACTAAAGGGACATTTACATGTGGAAGTGATCCTCCAGTTCCCATACTTGCTTATTACAAATGAGCAGTTCACAACAATATATAATATATTTATGGCTAGATTAAAAGTACCCAAAACTTAAAATTAAACTAACTATAATTAGATGTGATTAGTCTGATGCTTCAAGTGTATGTCAGGACAAAGTATATAAAAAAACCCTCAGCATATCTCTGTAATACATGCACATTTCCCCA